AACACCTGCGTCTCTCATATCTGTGCTGTTCTGATTTGTTACATCCCAATGATTGGCTGGTCCATGGTGTACAGGTTTGGGAAACCTGCCTCTCCTCTGATTCATGTCCTAATGGCCAATATCTACCTCCTTGTACCCCCTGTGCTAAACCCCATTATTTACAGTGTAAAAACTAAATGGATCCGCAGAGGGATACACAAACTTCTCACTCCAAGAAGGCGCTGATGTAGGACACAGAAGACCCAAGAGGTTTTGCATATGGTAGAACAGCTGGTGAACAATCGTTTACATACTCCCTACTCCATCCTGTCACCCATTTGACTGCTGAGCATCCTGAACCTTTAAACTCTTCTTATGCAGTAGAAGAAGGATTCCTTGTTTCTAGGCTGACAGCATTTTCTTTGCTGTATAAAGGCGTGTTGCAATATCTACAGTCTTCTATACCTTCCTGATCAATAATGCAGGAGCTGTAACTGCCTGAGGTTCCTAAGCTAATGGCCCTTCTTTTTAGACAAGGAGGACATGGCAATGGATGTGTTGGGGTAAGAGTTTCCCACTTTCACCATGGCACGGGGTCAGCTGGACCCAGAGCTCCTGCCAGAACGAGGGAATTGATCCTCCTGGCCAGCACTGCCTCGTCTGCAGGGAAAATCCAATGCTTCCGAGATGTGCTCAGCCATCTAGCCTCTAGTGCATCAGCACGCGCTGGAGCATAGATCTACAGATGTGCTGTGGCATCAGGTGGGAAAGCAGAGAGGGGAAGCAGTGCTATGCACTTAAACCAAAACAAAATCATCGGTAGCAGTGTTGGTTGCAGCCTTGCTGTGCACAAGGCTGTACACCAAAGGCCAGCAACTTCCTCACCAGTCTCCAGCATCCACCATCCCCGGAGGGGCTAAGAAGGGCCAGAATAAATCCTGCCTTCTTTTTCCCTTACATAAAGCTGTCATTACTGAGAACAACCAAGAAACACTGGTATTTACTGAAGCCTAAATGGGCACATGAATACCCAAGGGAAATCAAAGCAAAATAACAAAAAATACCAAAAAAAATGCAGCCAGAGTTTCTTCAAATTCTTTGCTTTGAGACCCAGTTCGATGGGACTTGTGAGCCAAATAATAGCTTATCACATTCAGGTGTTACCAAGTCTCATGGTGTTTCTGTACGTTGGGGCTGTGGTACACTCAAAAGCTTGTTACAGCAAAAGGAAGCACACATCTATGTTGAGCAAATAATTTATTGTTATTGCAATGAAAGCTCTAACAATCTTATAAAAACACAGAGGACAGTTGCTATCAGTCCAGTGGCTGACCTAGTGTCATCTGCAAGCTTTGGGACATCACTATGCATTCCCTCGTCCAGGTCACTGATGACAATGCAGAATAAAATGAGTCCAAGCAGAAATCCCTTGGGGAGGCCACTGCTGACGCTTCTCTGGACTAAAAATGACCGACCCTTACTTTAACCAACTTCCTATCCCTAGAAGAGGGTTTCCTCCAATCCCCCTACAAAGTAATTTTATTAAAAGCTTTTAGTCATGTGTATTATGGCCACAGGATCCCTCCAGCTGGAGCCACTCTCACACAAGTCCAGCAGACCACCGTGGCAAGATTCCTCCTTGCAGTAGCCTGGTTGACTCTGCAAGAGCTTTAGCCATAGGTGTTTACGCATATGCTTAGTCACCTTATTCTTTAGCACAGCTTCTACTGTCCCACTAGCGATGGAAATCAAGCCCACTGATCAGTAGGTCTCAGGAACCCCATGGAGCCCCTTTTGCAGGTGGAGTTGAAGGGATGATCCACCCTGCAGCACCATGACCATTTGCAATAGAGAGATGCACCCTGCTCACCAGCTTCACATCTGAGCTCCTTCCAGACTCTCGGGTGAATGACACTGGGTCCTGGGAGTTACTGATATCACAGAATCATGGACTGGTTTGGGTTGGAAGGGATCTCAAAGCTCATCCAGTCCCAACCCCCTGCCACGGGCAGGGACACACTCCACTAGCCCAGCTTGCCCAAAGCCCCATCCAACCTGGCCTTCAACACTGCCAGGGAGCCAGGGGCAGCCACAACCTCTCTGGGCACCCTGTGCCAGGGCCTCAGCACCCTCACAGGGAAGGATTTCTGCCTCACATCTCATCTCTATCTCCCCTCCTTCAGCTTAAGGCCATTACCCCTCATCCTATATTTCTTTAATGTGACCCCTCCTCCATATTTACTTCAAACTGATCAAGATCCTCTAATCCATTTGCTGTGAAGACAGTGTTGGGTATAGAAATCCAATGCAGAGAATTCACTGAGCTTCTCTGCTATGGCCTTATCACCCCTGAGTATGCTTCTCACCCTTGCTCACCAAGTGGTCCACCTGTTTCCTAGCTGGATTCCTGCTTTCAATGCATTTAAAGAGCGTTCTGCTGACAGCTAGAGCATCCTTTGCAAGGTGCTCTTCCCATTAATTTTTCTCTCTCTTAAACTCCTGCTTATGTTCGACCTGTCACTTTTTATGGGCATTTCAAGAGGGCAAGCTTCCCACCTCTCAGGCCAGTCTTTGACACAGGAGCCTGAGGAGGCCTTTGCGAATGGGCTTGTTTTTCATGCTGTAGATGATGGGGTTCAACATGGGTGGGACAAAAAGGTAGATGTTGGCCATGAGCACGTGGCTGAAGGGTGCAGCATTCTTCCCATACCGGTGTATAATGGACAGGCCAACCATGGGGACATAGAAGACGAGGACAGCACAGAAGTGAGAGACGCAAGTGTTGAGGGCTTTGGTTTGCTCCTCTCTGGAGGTGATGCCCACCACAGCCTTAATGATCATGGTGTAGGACAAGATGATGAGCACCGAGTCCAGGATCACGAACAGCACCAGGGTTAGGCCATACAGGCTGTTCAGGGTGTAGTCTGTGCATGCCAGCCGTATCATGTCTTGGTGCAGGCAATAGGAGTGGGACAGCACGTGGGACCTGCAGAACGGCAGTTGCCTGAGCAGGCAGATGAGGGGGAGCAGCGTCAGAGAGCGGCAGACCATCCCCAGCCCAATCTTTGCAATCCTTGCACTGGTGAGGATGGAGGAGTATCTCAGCGGGCAGCAGATGGCCATGTAGCGATCAAAGGCCATGGCCAGAAGTACTGAGGACTCCATGAAGGAGAAGGCATGGATGCAGAACATCTGGGTGAGGCAGACCGGGAAGCTGATCTCTCCGGTGCCAAACCAAAAGACATGCAGCACTGTGGGCAGGGTGGACAGAGTCAGGCCCAAGTCTGTGGTGGCCAGCATCGAAAGGAAGTAGTACATGGGCTGGTGGAGCCTTCGATTCGCTTTCACAACAAGCAGGATGGTGCCATTTCCCAGCATTGAGATGAGATACATCAGACAGCAAGGGAAGAAAGCCCAGCGGTGGAAACGAGACATCCCAGGACTGCCGGACAGCAGGAAAGACAGGAAACCACTGCTGTTCCCCGGGGACATGTTTGCTCCACACTGATGCCCTGCCTGTGTTAAAGGCCCCTTTCCATTAGCAGTTCAAGCACGGCATTGCTAGCTGGTCTAGGGAAGGGATTGTCCCACTCTACACTGCGCTGGGGCGGCCTCACCTCGAGTACTGCGTGCAGTTTTGGGCACCACAGTACAAAAAGGACATCAAACTATTGGAGAGTGTCCAAAGGAGGGCAACAAAGATGGGGAAGGGTCTAGAGGGGAAGACGCATGAGGAGAGGCTGAAGTCCCTTGGTTTGTTCAGCCTAGAGAAGAGGAGACTGAGGGGAGACCTCATCGCGGCCTACAGCTTCCTCACGAGGGGGAGCGAGGGGGCAGGCGCTGATCTCCTCCCTCTGGTGAGCAGTGATAGAACCTGAGGGAACAGCATAAAGCTGCAACGGGGGAGGCTGAGGTTGGATATTAGGAAAAGGTTCTTCACTGAGAGGGTGGTCGGGCACTGGAACAGGCTCCCCAGGGAAGTGGTCACAGCACCGAGCTTGACTGAGTTCAAGAAGCGTCTGGATAACGCTCTCAGTCATATGCTGTGATTCAGCTGGTCCTGTATGGAGCCAGGAGCTGGACTCCATGATCCTTATGGGTCCCTTCCAATGCAGGATATTCTATCATTCTATGATTCTATGATTAGCAGTTCAAAGGTAATGCAGGATTAAATTTCACAGGACAATGAAAACGAACAGTCTGATGTCTCCACACGAAGATCTCATTTCTCCTCCTTGAAGATATGCCAGAGCAGAGACGAGCACTTCGCAGTGCCAGTTCAGTCTTTTTTCCACCTTTATTTCCCCCAGACTCCTCACCTGTAAAGTCAATAATAACATCATTTATTACCGCTGGTACATCCCCCCCCAAAACATTGCGACAGCCTCTTCTCTCAGTTGCTGTAAGCAACATTGCCGTTCTTCCCCAGCACTCAGGCGCCGATCTCTGCTTCCCTGTGGGTCCCTCTCCAGCTCTCTACATTGGATTTGCACTGCTTCCCCTCGGTCCCCAGCCTTTTCCGCACCTCCACTATCGGTCCCTGGTGTACACAGCCTCACCCCACGCACTTCCATGCAGAACATTGCAAGAGGACAACGGTCCCCCTCCTCTGGGCAGCCCTGCCCTTGCCCGTGGGCTCTTGCTGCAGGCAAGGGATGACTGTTTCCCCTCCCAGGCTGTGCCTCCAGCCTGTTCTCCATCCTTGCTTGCAGGTACCAGCCTGCCCAGCCAGCTCCCTCGGCTTGCTTGCTGGATTTTCAGATTTTCGTCTTTCACCCTGTGCAGGATGCGCTGTCTGGAGCTCTGCAAACCACCACTAGCTGCTGAGTTTGGACCATGGCTTGGCTCGTGGCAGATATGGTCCTGCTTGTCCTCTTGTCCTGCACCTGCATCCTTTCCCATCGCTTAACCTGCCCATCAGAGGCAGGGAAAGGGGAAAAGGCTGGAGTTTGTCCCTGGTTTGTGTCTGTGCAGCAGCCGGCACCGTGGGACTGTGCTCCTTGACAAGGGTCCCCAGGAGCTACAGAAACAGAAGCAACTACTGACATTTATCTGTCACCCACTCTGACCCCCGAGAGGACACAGTCACTCCTCAAATTTAGATCACTTATTGGCAAATTTAGAAAATTATTGTTTCCCTTCACTTTGGAGATTATTTACTATTCTAATTGATGTTGCTGTTACTACGGTTCTTACTGATAGCCCACCAAGCTATTCAAAGTGACAGGTATTTCAGTCGATATGCGTTAGTAATATACACATTCTTAGCAGGGATGATGCTATTACAGCTAACAGTTATGAGTAAAATTAAGCAACGTGTACACAAACACAGCTCTCATTTCTTCTGCAGAACTGTCAGCCAAGGGCTTCCAATCCACAGCCCCCAGATACCTCAGGGAAATACTGCTATGTGAAATACAAATCATAAAATAAAAGCTATGCTTAAAGGGCTTAAGCTTTGAATACAGGGGCGGTACCTTTTGGGGTTGCAGGTAAAAAAACCCCAACTGTAAAACATTCCTCTAACCTATGCTAATTATTTGCCTGGCTTGTTGGCTGCTCTTTTCAGGGGCTGCAGTGGCTGACGTGGAAGAAGTTAAACTTTTCCAGCCCTCCGCACTCAAGGAATTCACGCTCCATCTGTCTATGTAAACAGGGAACATGGCATTGTTTAATTGGAGGGCATGTGGCTAAACTCATTAGCGTGCCATGAAAAATGGAATTAGTCTATTTCCAACTGCCCCACTTCTCAGACAAAGCTCCAGACATCTGTGCCTCCGCTCTTTACTTCGCCAGCTAAATAATTAGCTTGATAAGTTAAATTAGCAGACAGCTTTCCAGGGTGCTCTAATTATCTTCAACATGAAAATATATTTTTAATATATTTAAGTATTTGCATCTGAGTGTACAGACTTGAACATGTACCTCACCCTCATCATCTGTAAATGTGCTTTGGATGCCCCACACAAATAAAAAGATTGCCGTGTTCAATCTGTGCCTCACTGTCTGTTCTGGCCTGGGTAAATACTCATGAAATTGGGAAAAGTCCCATCCTGAACCCATGGGGCTGCCCCAGAGGCTGGGCGTCCTGCCCCCCCAGTGCCCCTCCATGAAGCTGTTCACCTTGATTGCTGCACAGTGGGGCTGAGGAAGAAATATTCCTCGCCTGCTCCTCCCATCCTCCTTTTATTTTTGTCCCTGCCGAGACACATAAGCAATGTGTCTGCACACAGAGAAAGGATGAATTTCCACATCCCAGGTGGGTGCTGTGCTGCGGCGGGGGGGAGTGGGTGCTCTGACTCCGGTGGATGCTCAGCTTCTGCCCAGAAGGATGAACACGGAGCCTGCAGACAGAGCGTAATCCTCGCTCAGTCGTGCTTCATAGCACCATCTGTCAGGCTCTCGTTGAGCACGGACCAGAGGAACTGGTTCGTCATCTCCAAGTGCTGCTGCTCAGCCCCAGCCACTTCAGAGACAGGAGCAAAACATCGTCCCATCAGCAGATGGGGCATAATCTGTGTTTTGTGAAAGTTCCCATGGAAAAAAACACAGTACTTAAAGCTTGACTTCAGGGCTTTAAATCCTGGCTGGAATATGCTGTTGTAACACTGGATGTTGCTCTCTATAGAAATGTCCGCTCCCTCCTCCACTGGGTATCTTATACGGGCAGCTGCGCCCCTGCAGCGTCCCTGTGCTGCCCGAGAGGCACCCGGGCTGTGCAGAATGCTGAGAGGAGGCTGCGGTGGGGAAGAAACAGGGACGGGTGAGGACGATGTATGTGCATAGATAAACAGGCAGCCAAGGGGTGTGCTGGCAATGGCTGCCCGGGCGGTGAGGGGATGGGATTGGAGGGCACGGCGGTTTTGGCTGGGACAGTTAATTTTCTTCACAGTAGCTCGTATGAGACTGTGTTTTGGATTTGCAACCAAAACAGTGTTGATAAAACGCTGATGTTTTAGTTACTGCTGAGCAGCGCTTGCACAGCATCAAGGGCTGCTCTGCTCCTCACCCTGCCCCACCAGCGAGGAGGCTGGGGGTGCACGAGGAGTTGGGAGGGGACACGGCCAGGACAGCTGACCCCAACCGACCGAAGGGATATTCCATACCATACGACATCATGCTCAGCGACAAAAGCTGGAGGAGAAGGAGGAAGGGGAGATGTTTGAAGCTAAGGCATTTGTCTTCCCAAGTAACTGCTGCATGTGATGAAGCCCTGCTTTCCTGGACATGGCTGAACATCTCTGGGCTTAAACCACCACAGAGGGGGACGGACAGATGGATGGATGGATGGATGGATGGATGGATGGATGGATGGATGGAAACAGCTGCAAGAATGCACCATGATAGATAAGCAAGTCAGCTGTGAACCAAAGCTACCCTTTATCACAAAATCAGAATGGAAAATCACCCACCCAAAATTCAAACATCAATGATGAACCAAGGCTGACAGGGAAGTGCATTGACCCTTTGGATGCCCTCACCTCTGATGAGCTGAAGTCCTTGGGCTCATGACGCAGAGGGACAGGGAGCCACACTCCTGCCTGGGTGTTCCACACACAGAGGAAGCTGTCTGTTTTTATAATGCCTGTGTGAAATCTCAGCAGCAATGACAGTCACCTGGGACCTGCTGCAGGGGCTGAGGCCATGAACTGCAAACCAGCTACGCAGTCCAGGAAGGGGATGATGCTCCCTTTCATGTCGTCCTGGCAGAGGCAAGGGTATATGCTGCAAGAGTAAACACGAGGATCATAAATGTTTAAGAAATGTTGGTCAGAGAACCAATGAAAAAAATAATTTTCACTAAATTTTTCTTCTCTTTTAAAATAGAACCATGAATTTTTAAAATGTTTTTAACATTGAATGAAGTCAATTATTTACCCCAAGTGTAAGTGTTGGCTCCAGGGTGAAACTGCTGCTCTGCACCTGCCAACTAGATCTGAAGGTAAGATAGAGATGCAATTCCTTGGAAATGCTGCTGAGATTTCATCACTGAATTTTGGGTAGAGTGCATCATCAGATCTTTGCACCCCTAGAAAAATACACAAAAGCAATGTCTCACTCCTTTCTCTGTACGCTTGAGAAGATGTAAGTTCTTTCATGGCAAAACTTTGGGGAGAAAGGGCTGGGAGAGGGATGGAGAGAGGGAGATGCAGTGCCCCACATAGCTCCACAGGTGAGGCTGAGCCTACTTTTTGGCCATGCAAAAGTGCTCTTACACGGTGACATACACATCGCTTTTCAAACATCAGCAGTGGAATCCAAATAAACCCTTTTAAAGATACATGCATTTTATTTTCCCCATGTCATGGATAGGGCAACTAAAACAAAGAGGCAAAACAGAAAAAGCTAAGGCCAGGGCTCATGTTTATGGAGTACTTTGCTGGAATATTGTGTCAATGGAAAACGATCCAGCCGTGACTCAAGTACAGGTCATGCCTGACAATGCCTGCGTTTCTGCTGCATGCATTTCAGCCCGTGTGCCTAAGCTCTTT